CTTAAAAAGAAACACACAGGCAGGCACACATAAAACGTCCCACTGTCTCCTTGACAAATTCTTACCGTAGGTCTTTCCCATAATCAAATAAAGCTTTAAATGCTGTCAAAAATGTTTTCCAAATGTCCAGCTCATTCAACTGCAATGGCCATGAAAGGCACATCTTAGAAGAGAATGTGCCTAATTATCCAGAGCCTGTGCAGGGTGGATGCTCAGGCAAGAACTTGGCTGATGCTGACCTCACCCACACCAGGGGCCTGACGGGTAATCAAAATGACCTTTAGGACAAAAGTGCAGAACAAGTCTTCATTTTTGTATAATGCTGTATTGTTTAATTCAGACATTATTCCCCCAAGAAAACAAGCACCAAGCTTTGGCACACAAAGCCATATGTTGACAGATTGGATCTGCTCTTTTGAAATTAAAGTTGGAGGATCTCAGGTCTCCCATTCTCCAAAGGGTATAAAAGTTCAGGTGAGCGTGGAATGCACGAGGGAAAGATGTCATTGGTGAGGACATCATTGGTATGGTAAGTGGCTGTTTCCGTGAGTGCATGACGTTGTTGGCCTGTTCAATTCCACTGCCCAGAACTGTAAGGATCTTAAAAACGGGCAAATGGGCTGCTTTCCCATCTCATCTGAACTTTACGGGATAAAGAACAAAAGCTGTTACCTTTCGCATCTGAGCCAGCAAGCCTTCGAACTCCTTCAAGTTCAGCGTCGTTCCACTGTAGGATGCACAGCTATTTGCTGCCTTTCCCAGCCAGTAAATGGTAACTAACACCTGTGAAACAAAACCATGCATAAGAGCGGGAGAGTTTTCTCTCAAGAATTACTTTTAAACTAAGGAGTCAATAAAGCTCCACTAACAGGAAATCCACTGATTTATGAAAAAACCATCCTCGCCCTAGCCAGCTTGGCTCAGTGGATAGAGCATCGGCCTGTGGACTGAAGGGTCCCAGGTTCGATTTCCAGCCGAGGGCACATGCCTGGGTTGCGGGCTCCATCCCCAGTGTGGGGTGTGAAGGAGGCAGCCAATCAATGATTCTCTCTCATCATTGATGTTTCCATCTCTCTCCTTCTCCCTTCCTCTTTGAAATCAATAAAGAAATATATATATATATATACATATATATATACCATCCATGAGGTGACCATTAAATGTAAATCATTTTAATAAGAACTTAATACTGTATCGGTCAACACAAACATGATTCAGTAGTTAAAATGAGACTCCAGTTTTAGAAAGAGTTCATCTATAAGACAGCAAGAAGGAAAAAATTAATCCTCTAAAATTATTTTTGTATAATGAAATATTTAAATATTCAAAATTAGGAAGCAAATTTTTTCAGAAACTCTTGGCATTTTTACCTAGACAAGTAAAGACTAGGTTGTCAGTTCCTTGTGAGAGAGGTGCTTTCAAAGGCCTACACTTTCTAATTGTGGGCACAGAGGTTCTGCTAAGATCAATGGCAAAAATCCTAAAGAAGTGATGGAAGTTAATTAGTGGTTTCCAGCACAAGATCAACACAACATGTCTAACTAAAGTCAGAAGACAACAATGTAAGAATACTATGTGCAGATACCTAGTTTTGGGTTACAGGTGGACTCCCATTAATCTGAAAAGAGAAATATTTAGCCTGGACAAAGTTATTGCCAATTAAACTATCTAAATAGTTATAGAGATTCAACATGTTTAAGAATGTTTAAGAATGTCTGTGCGTATTCAATGGTCTGAAGCTACAGCCCGAAGTTATTTTGTTCTGTCTTTCCAAAGAAACTGTCCATAAAAGCAAATGCTCTTTACACCAACGGTCCCATAAAATTCAGCAGGGGTTGGCTAAAGATGAATCCTTAACACTGAATTATTGGGATCTGAAGCTTATGGAAAAGCTAAGACTATTATTTCATTTTCCCATTCGAACCTATTGCTTCATCCAGGCTGGGGAGTACTTATTGTCCCTCTATACTTGCTAGGCCAGAAAATGCTTTGGATAATGTTATGGGGACATGGGTCCAGATGACAACAAGCCCCAAATACAGTAATGTGCTATCAGTGCTTAGCTATGATTTGGTTTTCTACCTCTGTGGAAAAAATTTTACTTCAGGAATCCTTCAAAACTTCCAGAAAGTCTTTTTTTTAAAAAAATTGATTACTTACAAATGAATTTCCAGAGAACAGACAATTCCAAATGTCAGGACACTAACTAGGAACATAAACACATGAGTACGAGGCCATCCTGAAAGGTGTAATAGGAGAACAGAAAACAGAACTGTCTTGTGTTTGAGACGACAGGTTCTCTGATTTGTTTAAAATTGTGCGATGGAAAATGGCATATAGCCCTAGTGTTATAGAAGAACAAAAAGAAGATAAGAATAAGACTGTCAGTCAAATATCATAGCACCCTAGAAACTAAAAACAAAAGGGGGTCACAGCTTAGTTTTCTATTTTATATGCAGAAGGTACTTTCTTACATTCCTCAATTTAACCTTAAAATAAGGGATGGGGGTGGAGGGATTAAGCAAAAAGAGGGGGGAAAAGAGAAAGAACTTATGGACATGACAACAGTGTGGTGATTGCAGGGGTTAGGGAAGTAGGTGGAGGTGGAAGAGGGTATAAGGAAATAAATGGGGATGGGAAGAAATAAAATAAAATAGAATAAAGAAAAGAAAAATAAAAGAACAGTAATGTATTTGCTTTTTGAAAATAAGATCTAACTCCAAAAAGTTGATTTAGGGAAATACTAATAAAAACTCAAAAGATTAGTAGGAGGAAAAAAGTACAGGCCCATGACAGTCAACATTATTCACATTGTGCTGATCTCTCCCTGAAACAATCTGCCCAACTGCTTAATTTAATAATCCCAAATATGCCAACCAACAGCCAGGAACTAACGTCACTGCTGAGACATCGCCTTGTGTTTCAGAACCTGAATCACAACCAGAGCAAAGGCTTTCATTTGCTCGTTTCTGGATTGAGCACTTTAATTAAAAAGAACCCCCCCCCCCCCGCAAACTACCATTTTTATTTCTATCATAGTCATTAATTATTCTATCAGAGACAGATATACTAGTTTTCTAGAACTCTTTCTGGAACAGCATAGGAGAGACACTGAATGTATGAACTAAATTTTACACTTGAACCATCAAAGTTCAGAAAGAATAAGGTGGGAAAGTGAAGTTAAAACACTTACATTTTTCAGCTTCCTACTATAATCAAGGCTCCTAATTAAGGAAAAGGAAAAGAAAATATGGTCAGAACAGTAGTTTCGTCACTGTGATCTTTCCTTACACACATACTTCTAAGATATACTTGAATTAACTAATATAATAAAACCAGGAAAATGTAGTATTTTAAGGCCGATGATTATTATTTCAGGTACTAAGTAAAACTGTTAAGAAAATGCAAGGTGGGCTTGAAGTTTCATAGTGCACCATGAAATCATTAAGACTAACATTTGGAAAATAAAGAATTCCACTTACTAGTAAACCCAAGACTGTTTATATTTGTACTAGAGGCCTGATGCATGTAACTCATGCAAGAGTAGGCCTTCCTTCCCCCAGCTGCCAGTCCTGGCTTTCCTCTGGCACCTGGGACCCAGGCTTCCCTCTCAGTCCCGGCTTCATCTGAGAGGACATCCAGTCTAATTAGCATATTACACTTTTATTATTAGAGATTCTCCAAGTTTAACTGTTAAAGTAAAATTTTGCCTTGATTATAAACCACTGTCAAGTGGAAATTTGCACTTTCAAATTTTTTTCATACAAGTACTTTTAACATAGGTCTAAAACCTTAATTAACAGACCTGAAAAGATATGTACAAGAGGCAATAATATCCTAATATTTGTCCTTTTCTCTTATGGAAATAAATTAGTGTTGGGAATTAGCCACAAGCAAGAAAATAAGTATGTTATGTTTAGCTATACACATGTGCATTCTTAAATATACATAAATATTTATTCTCAAACTATAAACAAATAAGCTAGCTGGTGGAACTTTCTAAATATTCATACAGTGAAATATAAAAATTTCTCTAAGATTATTCCAAAGTTTCTTTAACATGTCAACAAATAAATACCAGGAAAAACAAATACTGTTTTTCCCCACAAGTGGGGGTACAGGAGGGAGAATGTAATACTATTGTATAAGCCAGTCAAGAACTCCTTCAAGTTTATACACTCCAACTACTTCATTGCTGCATATTCTGATCCAAAGCACATGTCAATGACTAGGTGCACGATTTTAAGTCCATTGAAGTTTGAGGAACTAGAAAACAAAGTGGTACATACTAAGATAAACCCATCAATAGGGACCTGGATTAAAAGAAGCGTTGGTCCAATTTGGATTCAATTAAGAGAATGTTTTCCTGTTCCCTCCTTTTAATAGAAAAAATGTTATGTCAGATATTTGCTAGGATTTTTAAAAAGTTTAACAAAAGAAACAGATGAAAACAAACAAAATCTACAAAGAATTTGAAATTTGTATGAAAAACAAGTTAAGAACAGGGAACACCCAACTTTTTCTGCATTGACAATGAATGTTCATTGATTAAAACTGTGACCCAGTTCTAAAAAAATCATGCTGGGCACATAGTAGGAGCTCACAGAATATCTGCTGCACGACTTCCACACAGCAAACAGTAACGTGAAAACGCTTCCAAACTCAATGGAAAGCCTCTCCTCATTTTCATCCAGTTGCTCCGATTCCCTGGAACGATTCTTGCTGCCTGCCCTTTGGACTGTGCTTTCATTCCCCATCTAGGTAGTCTGGCATCCATTATAGGTAGAGTTCACTAAATTACACATCCAGTAATCATTTGCAGGTTTTTCCTTTCTAGTCTACTCAAGTTACTTCTCAAAAGAAAAAAAAAATCTGAAAAAATTACCTACCATGAAAACTCGAGAGTGTTTTTTAAAAAACAATTTCAGAAAAGCATCGAAATTTCCTCTGTGGGATCTACCCCTATAACTTATCACTTATGACATTAATTGGTGTCAGTGGGGTGGTTCTCCATCGCTGCTAATGTTCAGCTCAACTCTCAGAGGAAGAAGTAGAGAAATACAGCAGTTCTACTTGAATCTATGAGAGCTATAAAGCTTATGTCTGGTGCGAATGTCTGACAAGAGTGCCAAGTTCACCAGCGCCATTTACAGAAAAGTCATAAGCAGAAGGCCCCACCTCTCCCTAAAACTAGAAATGGTTTTCTAAGTACTGTCAATGAATTTATGGCATAATCTTAACATAAAATTATTTCTGTTCTAAATGTTCATTCAGTGAAATAAAACATTTTCTCTATAATGATTCCAACTTCAGGATCCTACCGGGCTTGTGGACTGCCCCTCCCACCACACTCAGCCTTGCTCAGTACCCTTCTACCACACTGGCCACTATTCTTTTTGTTAATCTTCACTTGAGGATATTTTCCCATTGATTTTTAGAGAGAGTGGAAGGGAGGGGGAGAGACAGAGAGAGAGAGAAACATTGACGTGAGAGAGGCACATTGGTTGGTTGCCGCCCACATGCGCTCTGCCCAGGGCCAGGGATCCCCCAAAATCAAGCTTGCCATTGACGTGAGAGAGGCACATTGGTTGGTTGCCTCTGACATGCGCTCTGCCCAGGGCCAGGGATCCCCCAGATCAAGCTCGCAACCAAGGAATGTGCCCTTGACCAGAATCAAACTCGTGGGCTGCTACTCTATCCACTGAGCCAAAATGACTAGGACTGGCTACTTTTGTTTTTAAACATCAAGTTGGTTTCCTCTTCCCCAGCCTTTCTATACGTTCTTCCTCTACACTCCATGCCTTACAGATCTTTGCATGGCTGGTTCTTGCTTCCCATTCATGTCTCAGCTCACAGCTGAAACGCTGTCTCTTCAGAGAAGCTATTCTTGACCACCTCTGGACTTATTACTATCTTTCTTCTTCTTCTGGTTTTCTGGTGACTGGAAAGTATCTGACACAGAGTAGCTGCTCAGTAAAGACTGGTTAAATGAATGAATGAAAACTAATAGTGTCACAGGAGAAGATGATGGAAAAGTATTGTCTAAAGAGAATATTAATGCTCAAGTGAAAGAAAAATTAAAAAGGGGAGAAAAGAAGTAGAAGAAATGTAAAAGGGAAGATTGACTGAAAGACAAGATAAAGAAGGGAAGGGAAGCACAGGGAGGAGAAAATGAGGAAAGAAGCAGAGGGAAAGATAAAGAAAAGGAGAGAGAAAAGAAGGGGAAGATGCGACAGTAACCGAGAAATGACTATGTCTGTGTACAATTGGTCTAAGTGACTTTTCCCCCTTTAGGTTGCTTTCTGTGCCTTCAAATTGAAGTCTCTTTTTTTCAGTAGTTGGCTAACTGTCTTCTCAGATCTGCACTGAGAAAAATTTAGCTAGAATTATACCTGAGAAAACATCTGTCCAATTTCATTTTATAGATGAAAAGACGGCCCGGCCGGTATGGCTCAGTGGTTGATCATCAACCCATGAACCAGGGGCACGTGGTTCAATTACTGGTCAGGTCAGGTCACATGCCTAGGTTGTGGGCTCAATCCTTTGTAGGAAGCGCGCAGGAGGCAGCTGATCAATGATTCCCTCTTATCATTGATGTTGCTATCTCTCCCTCCTTCTCCCTTCCTGTCTCTGAAAACAATAACAACTTTTTTTTCTTTTTAAAGGAAAACCCTATTGAAACAAGGGAACTTGCCTAGGATTATAGAAGTAGAGAGAAGCAGATGGAGGGCTAAACACCCAACTTCCTGATGCCCGGTTTTTTGCAGGTAGCAAGAAAGGTGCTAAGAGTTCTGAATTTCCAAAACCAATCTTAGAATTCTCCTGGTTTAGTAAGAGTGATTTAAAGTAGCTCTAATAAATGAATAAATACATTAAAGTGAACTTTCCCCCAAGCAATGTGTGTGTGACTAATTATTATGATGTTGCACAGTTAAATATTATTTTTGGTCACTTGCCACCAGGTGAAACTACAATGTGAGACGAGGCAGAACCTGAAACAATTTCCTAAAATGAACAGTGATTTATAGAGGCTGGGTACAATAACAAATGGGGCATATAATGACTGAGATGAGGTTTATGGTGGTTTCCACATTCAAATATCATAATTTTTATTCTGTTATTTTTGTCCTTAGCCAACATTTTCCTATGAGAAATATTAAAGAATGACACATTCACAACAGAGAAGTGATTTTATGTCATCAATCATGGCTGAATCCCCCTTATTTCCCATTGCAAATAATAAAATCCAATATAATTTCCTAACTGGATTTCATTCAGTAGTTTCCATTTTCCGCCATCATTAAAAAAAAAAAAATCAATACTGTCAAGTGGTATAAAATTAACAGCTCCAGATTTTGGCTTTCTCCCCTTTTCTGTTCTTCTATGATAAAATAACCCAAAAGTAACCAAAAGAAGTGCAGCCAATCCACAGACTCTTCCCACGTAATTAAGGTTATTAATAAAGTATATCCATGCCATATATTTTTTGACGAAAGTGAAAAATGTTTTATGTGAAATTTGTAGAGTCATAAGGACTTTTTTCTCATTACTCTAGTCATGATCTATTTCTTTACAGAGAAGCACATTGCCTTTTCTTTTACTTTACATTCTTTCCCAGGAATTCTTTGGCCCAAACATGGCTCATTGAGTAGATACAGTCAACAATAGGTAAATGGCCAATGACCCATCTTCAAAGAATTTGATCATTGACACATATGAGAAAACAGTTACAAATGTAAAAGAAGAGATTTCTCCATGATCTATTGCGCTCTTTGCATAATAAACAGAGTTGAGATCTGTTTACCAAGTTTTCAGTCTTCCAGGAGCCTATTCAAATGCCTAAATGGAGCCAATAAAAGCTTTTTGTCTAATTCACACAGATTCTGTGCATATTTCTCTCTTGCCTTTGCCTCCTTTAAGTTTCACCTAATATTTTTTTCCTTCTCTTTAACATCCTAATTTATAGGAGTGATACTTGCATTTCAAAAAATTCTATTTAATCAGAATGAAAGCAATACACAGAGGGAAGGTCAATTATCTTGATTTGAAAGCCTGATTTTTACCTTTACCTTTTTATTTTATGAGGCATGCCCAATTCTTTGCCTCTTAAAGCTTAAAACATCGTCACAAAATTACAAATCAAACCATAAATGTGTTTTCCTTAAATATAAATCATGTGTTACTTACTTGACTGTTACTCTGTTGGATGTATCCTGTAGGTCACTAGGGTCAAAAAGTTGAGATTCTTTAAGGCCGAGCTCTTTACAACCTCTCAAGAATAAGATGATATTGTCCTGGGAGGAAGAAAAGAAATTCAAGTCTATATTATTTTATATTATCTTTATAAACCAGCCCTTTCTCTTTAATAGTCCAAATTACTGGAGGGTCGGCAGTCATGAAGGCAGCAAGAGTCAGGTCTAAATCATGGCTTGCTGGGGAAAAAAAATCATACTTTGTTAGGATATGCTGTAGTAAGCAGATATGTCAAACTTTTAAACCCACAGTCATGTCAAATTCATTTTTTCCCCTTTACCTTAACACATTTTTGTAAAACTGCAAGTAAACTATCATTGAGAAGAAGAACTTAGCATCTTCTGGAGGAACCATACCCAAAACCAGATATTCCCTATTGTAAAGTTTTGTCCATATCTTATTGCCTAGAATCCGGTTCAAAATTTATATAAAAAATTGGTTTTAGTACCAGAGTGTCACCTTCAGTGAGGTTTGTTTTTTAATTGATCTTCTAAAATACATTCATTATCAGTTGGTTTTCACTGCTAATACCTTTTTGTGGACATAAATGGAATTAAATGGGAAAAATCTAAACTTAACTGGGAAGAGGTGAAAAAAGGAGCAAGGAAAGCCTTTGAAAATAATGCAAAAGACCATCCTAGTGAAAATTGCCTCTCACAGGTACAAATATACTTTGAACTGGTGGAGTAGCAGGCACAGTTGACACTTAAGGAGGGTTCTGGTCATCATCTGTTGGGAGTCATTAAACATAAACAAATGGCTTTGGAAGGGATTGCAATTGTGGGCCATCCTTATGGAAGTCCGGGGTGTTAGCAGCTTGTTCAGCAGTTACAAGGTTCTGCTCTCTTCCTGAAAGACTTCTGACAAGCTAGCTGGCCCTCTTAGTTAGTGAAGTTATAGGAGAGGAATGATAAAGGTTGGCTCCAGAAGCCAGATCATGTGAATCCATCTGAATACTGTAAGAACGATGCTACAAAAACCGGAAATGATGGTGGGAGTTACTGAATCATGTATTCACCCAAGTGCAGTTCAACAAGCGAACAGAAAGCAGAGGTCTTCCCAACAAACCAGTGTGTAGGCAGGATTCTAAGATGACCCCCAAGAATCCCACTCCCTAGTGTACATACCGTGTATGGTCCCCTCCCCTTGAGTGCCAGTAGAACCATAAATGTAAGGAGCTATCAATCACTCTGTGGCTATGTTACTAACCAGTTGGCTTTGAGTTAATCAAAAGAAAATCATCTGATTGGGTCAGACCTACTCAGGGGAGCTTTTAAAGGCAGGTAAAGTCAGGGTTCCTGGTGGCCATATGTTTTAAAGCTGTAAGGAGATGCATTCTGTCAACAACCACATGAGCTTGGAGAGGCTTGGATGAAGCTAAACTAGGACCTCAGCCCCCGCCAGTACCATGGCTTCAGCCTTGTGAGACCCTGAGCAAAGAACCCAGTCATGCCATGTCCATACTTCTGGCTGCAGAACCCAAGATAATAATTGGGTGTTGATTTAAATGGGCGCTAAATTTGTAGTAATTTTCTATCCGGCAATAAAGAAGATTAACACACCCAGGCTCAAAACAACAAGGGCAATAGCAATAAACTGCTAACATTTATTTAGCCCTTTTTATATGCTAAGCGTTTTTCCAAGAGCTTTCATCCTCATTTACAGATGAGCAGTTGGAGGCACAGAACTATTAAGCACCTGGTCTAAATTCACACAGCCAGCAAAGGATGGAGATGCAAAACAATGTGGCATATATGAGGAACACCAGCATAAAATCTAAGGTCAGCACCAAAGGAAGATGGTGCTACAGAGTCAGGGGCTGCTCAAGGAGGGCCTTGAAAACCATGGAAGGCAGGCTGTGAAAGTCACAAAGGGGCTGTGATCTGAGAAATGAATGCCCGGATCTGCAGCAGCAGCAGCAGATGGTTGGAGAGGTAGACAGGGTGAAGGAAGGACTTAAAAAGAACAAGATAGGAGACAGAGAGACCAATGAGGAGAGGCTACAGTCTCACTTTCCCCCATGGCCCTTCCCAGAATGTGTTCTTTCTGGTGTCCCTGGATTTTTTTTCAGCAGGCAAGAGGGGCCATCATTCACAGACCTGTGTCATTCAGAAGGCCTCTTTGTAGACTAACATGAGCTGGTCATATTCTGAAGTCATCTGTACCCTGGCCAGTCTCTCCTTTAATTACCTTGCACATTTTAAAATGATCAAATTTCTCCTTGGAGTTTTTCTATGTTCCCTCCCATGTGCAAAGATTTATCTATGTTCAGGTAAGTTTTTTCTAGGGCATATTTCTGGTTGGTCTGTGAGCTATGAGGGCTTCCAGCCTGGAGCAAAGGAAAGGGTGTGTCCTGGTACTCTCTAGGAATCATTTGCAAGCACAATAAGAGGACCAGACCTGTAACTACCCTGTGGTTCCATAGGAAGCACATGAGTGGGGCATCTCCTATTCCCAAGAAAGGTGAGGAGGCACGTTTGCATATGCATACCCAGATGCCCAGATGCATGTCTGAGCACCACGCTGTATTCAGCACACAGACTGCAAATACAAAAGCGCTGTGTTACCAGCCAGGCTGACCAATTTGGGCTGGGAGATTTAAATAACTGCAGGTCTCCTTCCAACTTCTTGCTGCAACCTAATGATGCTGGACGGGAGCCAGACCCCAGTCAGGAGAAAAGCCAGAAGGAAGAACGCTCCAGCCAAGAGCTAACAGGGGCCGCCACCGGAGCGGGCAGGAAGCACTGTGCCTTTAATTATATAAAATGCAACTCACAAATTCCCATCTGCCCTGCTCTTCACACTGCGATTTTTCCACATTTACAATTCCAAGCAAAACGCACATATTAATGTTTTAGTTTCAGAAGCCAAGCAGTACAACAGCACCTCATTTCCAAGGGAGAAGTGGAAGACGCTGATTTACGACAATGACCACTCTATTCAACTCTCGCTAATGTAATATTATTACAAACCTATTATGGTTCTGTAGGGCTTCAAAAGAAGTTCCTTAAGACTTTAAAAAAAAGTCAATGTCATGAAAAAGCAAAATTGGACATTAAAGACATATGATGACTGAACATGATCTATGAGCTTTGGCTGGATCCTTGATCCCAAAAGAAAAGGTAATTGAGGCTATGAAAGTCCAATTTAGATGTAGCCTATGTTGTATGATGTTTTAAATGAATGTTAATTTTCTTAGACATGATGACGATGAGATTGTGGTTATATGAGAGAATGCCTCAACTGATTGATTGACTGATTGACTGATTGATTGATTTTAGAGAGAGAAGAAGAGGGAGAGAAGGAAGACATTGATTTGTTGTTCCACTTACCTATGCATTCATTGGTTGCTTCTTATATATATGTGATTTGACTGTAGATCTAACCTGTAACCTTGGCATATCGGAATGATGCTCCGACCGACTGAGCTAACCAGCCAAGGAGAATGCCTTTATATCAAAGTATATGAATTATTAGGGATGAGTTATCATAATGTCTATAACATGATTTCAAATGGTTCATGGTCAAAAATGTATTTGTGTGCATGCATATAAGAGAGAGAGAGAAAGAGAGAGAAAAAATGAATGAATGTGGGCCTGACATGGAAAAGGAGAGACAGCAAATCTAGCAAAAGAGCAACACTTAGTGATTCTAGATCAGAGATTGGAAAACATTTTCTGTAAAGGGCCAGATAGTTAAGCATGGCTTTGTGAGCCTATGGTGGTCTCTGGCTGAGACTCACCTCTGTTTTGTAGCCAGACAATTCATAAATAAACGGGAGGTTCCATACTCCCACATCCTTTATTTACAATAGTAGATGGCGGGCTGGATTGGGCCCAGAGTGGAGTCCACCGGCCCTGTTGTAGGTAAATGGTTATGCAGGCATATACCATGCCATTTCTTTTCTGTACATTTGAAAATTTTCAAAAAAATTTTTTGGAAAAAGTTTTTTACATTTGTAGAAATATATTCAACTACATAGAGTTACGACTTCACTAGCAAAGCCAATTTCATAAAATTCAAGGGAAAAACTCAGTCACCTCCGAGACAACTATTGCCAAGTCACTGAGGTAAATGTTTAAGTACTGCTGATGGAAAGTGACCATTTCTGGCTAACTGGAAAACACTGTAACACGAATCTCCATCCAACACAGATGCGTAACGTGCAGTTCCTAACAGAGTCCATTTTGTGCTAGACTCATATGAATATATGGATTTATACTGCTGTTTATGTAACTAGCATGCATTCATTCCTTCTTCTTGGCCCTGTGGTTTCCCATTTCATTAACCTGTGGGCCTGAAATGTGTATGAAAATAGTCCCCAGGGGCCCGGGGGTGAGGTCTGGACTTTCCACCTTCCACGGGACCTCTTCCCTGAATAAGTCCTTGTACTTCGCTCCCCTCCCATCTCACTCCAAAGACAAGATGTAGGAAGGCCCTGGATGGCCTTTATCCCCAGAGTGTAGCAGTGTCCTTAGCCTATAGTGGGAACTTACTAAATATTTAAAATAAAGTAAGTACTAAATTCTAAGTACTCATAAGAATGAAAAAAACAAACAAACCAACCAACCACAACAAAATTCCTAATAGGTAAAATAATAAGGACTTATAAAAAAATCTCTTATCTTCAAGATTAATTTTTATGATCCACCAAGTAGCTGGAATTGTTCAAGATACATATAAACAGAGGTGTGACTTCAAGTTAGACAATGGAAGCGAGAGAACAACAAATATATCAAGGAACACAGCATAACAGCTTTGGATCAGGAGGATGCTAGGCAGAGTCCCAGCCTCATCCATGTATTAGCCATGCGATCTTAGGCATAGATCCTAACCATTCTGAGCCTTATATTTCTATTCTGGAAGGTGGGGGATGCCATAAACCTAACAGGGACATCAGAATTACAGAAAATATATAAAAAGAACACAGCCTAGTGTCTGGTACTTTCTGGGACACTCATTACATAGAAGTTATTATTATGACATTCTTGTCAACTCAGGTCACAGAAGGCGAGATGATGAACAGTTTATCCACTCCTGA